TGGAGTTGCCAAAAGGCATACATTCACAGAGAAAAAAAAGGGGGGAGGTGCCACAGGATAAGGGGAGATGAAGACATCCATTCACAGAAGATAGGGAAAAGACACAGGGTATGGGGAGAAAAAGGAAAACTTTCACAGAGGGTAGAGAAATGCCTACAAGTAGGAGAAAGAGGAAACTAGATTTCACAGGAGATAGAGCATTTTACCACTGAAGGGGGAGAGGACGTGGGGAGCACCACTTGGAGTTTAGGCTTTGAAGCTGATATTCTGCAAAAGACTGACCATTCAGAGGGGAGCATCAAGAGACAAAGAACTGCGGCCTTTATAAACCTTAGGAAAAAAGGAGCTTAGTGGGTTACCCTCTTGGGACTCCTTCTCCATGTGGGAGGCTGTATTTGCTTCCAATAAATTTCCATCCTTTTCATCTACCACCTTTTGTCTGTGGCTTCATTCTTCTAATCCATCTGGACAAGAACCCAGGAAAGAAATCACCCTTGCATCCTGCTCACAAAACCCAAATCAATATTATGAAAAGAAATTGGTATACTCTTTCCTGGTACAGGTTCATATCCTGATCTTCTCCACAGTCCTGAGGCATTCATCTGTGGGGAGGAGGAATAAAGAGACAAAGAGGGTTGAAGGACAGGGCATAATGATTGTTGAGGAAAGGAGTTTATTATTTAACCTCTGTCATCCAAAGCAGGGCTTTAGAGCGTGCATCAGAAAAGTCCGTGAATACCAGACTTTGTGAAGAAAAACATAGTTTTCTGAATTCCTTAGGACACATCAAAAGGTAGCCCCCATGGGGAAAAACCACAGAGATTTTTCCCACTAGAGAAGATCTCTCTTCTGCCCCTGAATAGGCCATGAGGCAGCAGGAAGTGAAAGGTGGTGCGTGGGTAGACTAAATAGCCATTGCAGATGCTGGATAAGGAAAATTTGAATTTATTTAAGGAAAGGGGATAGGGGGTGGGATATCCAGAGAGAAAGGCTGCACAGCACCCTGCCAAGGGGACATTGGGTCGATGATGGCAGCACCCAGGAGCTGGAGTCTCATCCTGTTATGCAGTCGCTGGTGGGGAAACTGTTGTCATCAGTGGGTTTGGGGGCTGAGGTGGTGGGTTTGTAATGCGGATGGAATGCAGGTGTGCGATCAGGTGTCCTTAGGACAGTTTCCATTCCTTGTATAGTCTGACTCCCAGTGTCCTGCAAGCATTTCCTGGTCTTTTGTTCTCTTGTGGTGGGAAGCTTATAAATGGTCGTTAAGGATTATATTGCCCTATAGTCCTAACAGGAGATACATGAGGAAGTCCAGAAATGATGATGTTGGTCACACCCTGTAGCCCCCACAGGGCCCTCAAAGGACCTAGAATCCAATAGATAGCAGCTCTTCACACCAAAATGTCAATGAGACCCTGTCATACTTTAGTTTTCAGGAATCAGGACCCAGACCTGTTTAGCCATTACACTGCAGAAGCCAGGGAAGACCCAAAGGATACCACAAGTATCTGAGGAATTATTTTCCACTTTGATAAAGAAACGGTAAGCCTTCATTACAAAGTCTTAGGCCAGTGAAAGCTTTTTTTGAGTAAGATTAGATTTTTTCCCAGATAACAGGACCACATTTAACAGTATTTTGTATCACTATTTTAGGCCACTTCCACCAATGGTTTTGGTCTTATTCCTGATTATAGTGGAATTGATTACAAATATTGAGGTCTTTTATGAATTACATGTTCTCCCAGAGAATTATCTTTCTATTTAAGGCTATAGTTGATAGGTTTTCTTTTTCTCCTTTTTAAAACAATTCTAACTCATGAAAACATTTTGTTTTATAATAAAATTTAGACATCTTTACCATGTTCTTTATGCCACTGTTGATTTTGAAGCATGAATTATCAAAAACTTATTTAGGAGGCATTTTTTCCTGTAACAGTAAGACATGATTCAGACACTTTACATTGTTCTTTCTGAATAAGATATTAGTAATACTTAATTTTGAGTTTACATGTCAGGAATTGTGTTTGATGCTATATGACTCTTCAATGACAAATGTTTATGATGCTGTACAGAACAGTACTCCCTTCTGCATTTGATTTCATAGTTATATAACACAATGAAATATTACTGAACACATGCTTTCATATAACTATATTGTATCATAATAAAACCAAATGTGGGGTGGTTGAGTCTGAGTTCTTTGTCTTGCAAAATCGAAGAAAGAAGTCGTGGACAAAAACAATTAGGAGGAGCAAAGTTTACTGAGAGAAGCCAGTCCAGGAAAAGGTGCAGCTGGGGTCCAGGAGTAGGTCAGTGTCCAGAGCTTCCTTTCCAGGTTACAGTCAAGAGTCATTCAGTATCTGAGTGAATTAAAGTCTGTTAGTCCATGTGTGGCGGTCCATATGGTCATACATCACATGGGTGCAGGGGGGCGCATCTCCTGCCATAAAACTAAGAATCTAGCATGTCAGAGCGAGCAAGAAGAAATGCACTTCTTAATTTAGGGGATGGAGACGGCCCTGTTAGCTCCTAATTGATCTTTTCAAAGAATTCTGCCTTAGCAACATCCTTGGGATTGGCTTATATGCCTTACTGCCTCTGTCCTCGCAATATCCCTACATTTTGAAGTTCGTGCCTCTCCCGTGTGTCCTTCCTTCCCCACCCAGTTAGGGTGCCTTCGTAACTACACCTAGCTGGTTCTCCGGTTTTATTTCTTCCCATGGTCCCAACTCCTGACCACATAGCTTTCCTCTGTCTCCTCAATTATGAATATTTGAACTTATTAACATTAACCCAAAATTGCAGTATCATAATGAGTTGATCAAAACATATAAATTCAATGAAGTAATGATGGAAGGATAAATTTAACTTTTCATATACCAACACTAATACTGAAACACTTTCTTACCCTACTAAGTGCTATACTTATTGTGGTACACAAGCTCTTTATTTTAATGAAACTTTTCATTATCAGTTAATGTCTTGGTTATTTTATAATGTTTGCATACAAAGAAACCCTGGAAAAATATGAGTCCTGATCAAATTACTATTATAGTTACTAGATATAAAATTTCATCTATCCAGAGGAAAACAAAAAGTGTGCCTTTAAAAGATGAATCCTCCCCATTTTATGTACAGCATGGACAGTAGCGTGTGTTCTACCGTACATTAATATCTGATGATTACAGAGTCCTTAGCCTTCTGGCTTGAGGGATGGACCTCATCTGCTCCAACGCAGGCTTTGATTAGAAGGAAGATAAGTGAAAACCATTTTCTTGGTTCTCTCTTGCCCATTCTTAACTGACATACTCATTTAAATTCCATTCATTTTTCTCTCTTAAGTGCTTATACCTCCCATCCCCACAACATATTGTCACCTTTCTTTCAGTCTCTGCAGTAACTCAGACCCAGTGAAAAGAATGCATGAAAGCATTGTTTCAAAACTAATTAGAAAAAGATAAAAAGCAAAAAGGTTTCATGGAAGAATAAGCCAGAAAGAAGTTGGATAAGAGAGAGGGCTCAGGGGAGTCCTAATTGGAAAGGCTGGGAAAGGTTGGAAAGCAGCTTGCTCTATTTTAGCATATGAAAAAGTTCTGGACTGATGGAAGAGCCCAGAGATTTTTGAATCAGAATTCATGGGTTTTCATTCCAGCTCTGACACTTAGTTGTGTGTCACCTCCACTGGACTTGTGACCTCTCATTAATGAGAGATAATGTTTATCTTTTAGCTTTGAGGATTACCTCAGATAATTAGTATAGTAGAAATTTATGTTTGTGTAAGTTATCATTAATTTAGAAAAATAATGGCTCAATATTTTTATTAGATTCTAACTTACTCAGGTCAGTACTTTTGGGAATAATTATGCAATTGGCCATTGTTTCATTTTATTCCAGATAAACGTTTTCCTATATCTGTTCCTCTCCCCTGAGTTCATGAGAAACGATGACTATTTAAGTCAGTTCACTTAGCGTTAGTAACTGAGTGCATTGTGCTAAGAAATTTGAATGCATTATTTTCCTTTGCAATGCTTACAATAACCATATAAGGATGTTATTTTCTCTACATAGGAAATTAGGACCTAGAGAAGTGAAGCAGGGGAATAGGTTTATACACATTATACTAGTTTGCTTTCCTCCGTATATTTCTCGTCCCTCCTTCATCTGTAGCCAGAGTATTTTATGCCCAGAGCTCCAGGAACAGTAAGATACCACTGAATTTTACAATTTCTGATAACAAATTCTAATTTCTTTCTCAAACTATAGTCCAATGAGTAACTAATAGTAGTTAATTTTATTTTAATTCCTTCCTATACAATGGAAAGTTTGAAAATATCTTACATTATTTCACCTAATCCTCTGAAAAATACTAGGAGATATGTGTTATGCATATACACATTTTATAGATCTTTACACAGATCTGAAATAAGGTATTTTTCCCCAGGACACATCAATATTAAGAGGGAGAATGAGGCTTCAAAGCTCTCTAAGCTTCACCCCAAGGGAAGGCCTGAGAGACTCAGGAATTCTTTTGCTTTGTGCTGTTCTTCCTTTTAGATGAGCTCAATTAAAGAGGAAGTATTTTTTAGAAAAGTAACAGATTTGAAAATCCAAGGATATAATGCACCCATGCCTTAAAAATGTGTTAGACACTGGAGAAATTGCAAGAGCCCAGAGTTCCCCTAAGCCCCCCACCATCAAACCAGAGTAGAAAGAGCTGTTAATGTGGTACATCTAGAGTGGCAATTTTCAACTGTTTGCCAAAGTAATTACTAAAATTCTGCAGCACACCAAAAAATATATTTTTTGCCAATCTGACAAAAAAAATATAGGCATAATTTTTAAATCATTAAAACCGAATGGCTATTGTTTTGCTGGATCTTGTCATTTTTTAATTTGACAATCTAAGGGAAAAGAGGTCAGTGCCCCTGACTAAATAGTCAGGTAATGCATGTTTTAAAAAGCCTTGAGGCACACAGGTTAAAAATCGTTGATCTAGACAAATGGCCAAAATGCAGCTTGTTGATCCAATACCATATTCGTGTGCCCAAGCATTGCAAGTAAAGTCATATGATTTTTCTTGGTCCATAGAAGAGCACAGAGATGGAGCATTAACAACTTTTCTAAATTCCTCAGAGCTCATATCTCAAGATCAGCCCAATTTTCACAGGGCCTCTAAGGTGGGGAGGAAGGGAAGTGGAAATAATGGAACTAACCAAGAGCTGGGATCCCCCCAGCAGTGATTATATGGACAGACATCAGAGAACACAGTGGGATAACCATAAAGATGCTTTATTTTCATGAAAGTATGGAAAGTTAAGGTCCAGGGCTCCTAATTGTGTGAGTTCCTCTAAGGACAAGGAATGTGTTCCTTGGGATCCCCCCAGCAGTGATTATATGGACAGACATCAGAGAACGCAGTGGGATAACCATAAAGATGCTTTATTTTCATGAAAGCATGGAAGGTTAAGGTCCAGGGCTCCTAATTTGTGTGAGTTCCTCTAAGGACAAGGAATGTGTTGAAATTACCTTATTATATTCTAATATTCTATTTAATTGAAGATAAATTATGAAAAGCATAATGTAGCCCCAGTGACTGAGCCACCACCGAGGACTCAGCAACCTCCCCTGGAGCCCCCCCTCACTTCCCGATGCTCTGTCCCCCATGCCCGCCTTCTCCTGCCACAGCCTTCTGTAGGCGATTTCCACCGAGGAAAAGGAATCGTATCATACGTCCACCATCCAGAAACTCCACTCCTTCGATCCCTTAGCTCCATGATCGGTAAACTGCGGCTCACGAGCCACATGCCACTGTTTGGCCCCTTGAGTGTGGCTCTTCCTAAGCCTTAGGAGTACCCTAATTAAATTAATAGCAATGTACCTACCTATATAGTTTATGTTTAAAAATTTTGGCTCTCAAAAGAAATTTCAATCGTTGTACTGTTGATATTTGGCTCTGTTGACTAATGAGTTTGCCGACCACTGGCTTAGCTGATGCAAGTCAGAGTGATGATCAGCTTCCTGCTGCCACTGAGGATTATCCTATATAATAAACAGCTAATATGCTAATTAGACCAAACAGCCAAATGATCTTCCAGACGAAGCCAGGGCTACAAGTGCTGGCTGAGGCTCTGACAGCTGAGCCCCTTGCATGAATTTTGTGCATCAGGCCTCTAGTATTCATATAAGGATTCAACAAAGAAATGGCAGGAAGACCCTTACCACTGTCCAAGGGATCGCTGATGTTTATGATAAAAATAAACTAGTGAAGGCCTCTAAGAAGAAATTTGCCTGCAATGGTACTGTAATTGAGCATCTGGAATATGAAGAAGTAATTAAGCTGCAGGATGACCAGTGCAAGAACATATGCCAGTTCCTCATAGAGACTGGACTGAATAAGAATGACCAGATGAAGGTTCATGGGTTTTAAGTGCTTTTGGCTCACTGAAGCCTTAGTGAGGATTTCTTTTCAACGAGTAGAATTTTCTTCTGTCGCTTGTCACAAGTTTGAAAACCTCGCAGCTTGTATAATGTAACCATTTGGGGTTTGTTTTTCACTTGGACTAGTGTAACTCCTTCACGCAATAAACTGAAAAGAGCCATGCTGTCTAGTCTTGAAGTTCGTCATTTAAACAGAGGTCAAGCAGTAGGCGCCTGGCAGTGTCCAGCCTGAAGCAGAGCAATAACGTGATGTTTCACCAAGCCCATGTCTAGCCAGAAGCTCCTCACCAGAGTTGGTGCCCTTAGAGAATGTCACCGGCTGAACAGCCTTCGGTGATGCTGAGAGGAGAGGGGTAAGGCAGCAGCGGCATATGTACCACTAGAGGGAGCTTTCCGTAGTCAAAGATCTACACCTGACCTGGTGGATGGAGTTTAGAACAGTCTGCCACCTTCCCTCCAATGATGTGTAAGGACTTTTGTGGCTTGCCACCAAGGTCTTTTTGACCAGACATATCCTAGCTAATTGTTGTCCAAACACCATAATTTGAGGTCAACCTTCAATCAGAGTTAAATTTTTGACAAGGGAACAAATTTCAAACTGAAGTGTCAGTCATGTAGCTAGCTATAGAGCTTGCAACTTACTAGCAACAGCTGCCCCAATGCCATGTGAAGTAAAAAAAAAAAAATGATTTTGGGTGTTTTTTTCTCCTCCTTTAGTTTTAATGTTATATTATGTATTCAAACCCTTATTTAAATAAAACTTGTTTTCAGAAAAAATAACAACACAATGTACACATTTAATGTATAGAGTTCAATGAATTTTGATAAATTTATACCCGCATGTAACCACCAGTCATATCAAGATATAGAACATTTCTATTACCCCATAAAGTTATCTTGTGCCCCTATTGTTTATATCCCATACTCAAGAGACAAACATTTTTTCCTATTTGCTCTATTTTTTTTTCTAGATTGTTTTTTCTATTCTAAGTGTATGCATGTCCATATAAATTTTAGAATCATCCTCTTAATCTCTTCAAGTAGACTTTTAACTTGCTGGAATTGTACTCTATTCTGTCTCCTTAGTACTCGTTATCTGTTAATATCTCTACTCAGTCCCCCTCAGCCTTCAAGCTGTTGGTAGGCATCTCACCCGATGCATACATAGCTCAAGAAAAAGTAAAGGGTTTGGGAGGGAGGTTGTATGCAAGTTTGGCCCCCAATGTATGACTTCTTTTATGTTATTTTTTCCAGTACATTTTTTATTGAGATATAATTGGTACATTGTATTAGTTTCAGATATATAACAAAATGATTCAATATTTATATATTTTGAAATGATCACCATAAGTCTAGTTAACATCTGTCCCCTTACATAGTTTTGAAATGTTTTTTTACTTGTGATGAGAATTTTTAAAATTTACTCTCTTAGCAACTTTCAAATATGTAATACAATATTATCAACTACTAGAGGCCCATGCATGGGTGGGGTCCCTTGGCCTGGCCTGAGAGGATCGCCAAAGCCAGCAGTCCTAGATCCTCAAAGGGATGTACCAGGTGTACTGGTTAATAATGCGGATTTTGTAATCAAAGAAAACATGATATTTTCAAGAGAAACATCAAAAGTACTTTATTCAAAATAATGTCTATCACTATCTACACATTTCCCCCATCTTTCAGGTAATTTGTGGATACTGTCCCAATAGAACTTTTCTTGTTTTGAGGCAAACCATTCAGAGATCCAATTTTCCACTTCTTCGTATGTTTTGAAGTGCTGCTCAGAAAGTGCATGTGCCATTGATCAGAACAAGTGGTAATCTGAAGGAGCAAGGTCTGGTGAATACAGCGGGTGAGTTAATACTTCCCAGGCAATATCTTTTAACATGTCTTTAAGTGGTTTTGAAGTGTGTGATGGTGCGTCATCATGAAGCAAAATTACTTTTCTGTGTCTTCTGGACCATTCTGGTCATTTTCTGATCAAAGGGTGGTTCAAATTGATTATTTGTTGTCAGTGGCAATCAGTTATTAATGGTTTCATCTGGTTTTAGAAGCTCATAATACACCACACCTTCTTGATCCCACCAAACATAGAACATTGTCTTCTTTCCGAAGCGATTTGGCCTTGCAGTTGATGTTGATGGTTGACCTGGATCAACCCATGATTTTGTGCATTTGGGATTCTCAAAAGAAATCCACTTTTCATTGCCAGTCACAATTCGATGCAAAAAAGACTTTCTTTCGTGCCATTGAAGCAACATTTTACTGATGACTTTTCGGTTTTCCACTTGTCTTACGTTCAGTTGATGTGGCACCCATTTTCCTTCCTTTAAAAGCTTTCCCATTGCTTGTAGATCAGAAATTGTTTGCTGAGCAATGTTTAATCTTTCTGCAAGATGTTTTTGAGTTTGACAAACATCATCATCCAATAATGCTTGTAGTTGTTGATTTTCAAACTTTTTCAGTTGACCTGGGCATTCTTTGTCTTTCACATCGAAATCATCACCTTTAAAGCCTTTAAACCAGTGTTCACAAGTATCTTGAGATGGAGCATGTTCACCATAAGCTTCCCAAAGTATTCAGCAGCACTTTTCTTCAAAATAAAGTAATGAATTAAAATTTCCCGCAAATGCTCTCTTTTTTTTTGGCACGAAATTCAACATTTTTAAGCATAAAAATATCTATGATGTTAACACCTTCAGAAAATTTGACATATGAAGTTTTGAAGCTTGTTGTGGATACAACAGAACAGCATACATATCAAATCGCATATGTATCAACATATGTGTAACTCCGTCTATTGAAAAAAAATCCGCATCATTAACCGGTATATCTGGTCGTAGTGCCAAAGCGGCAGGCGGCAGGGTAGGAGCCCCAGCCCAGGCTGGGCACTGCTCCAGCTCATCCCAGCCCTGCTGCACCTGCCATAGCCACCACTGGGCAGGCTCGCTGCCACTCCACTACGGTCTCCACTTGCCCTAAATTGATACTAGTGTGCCCATGACCGAGAAGTAGCCAAGGGCTCATGCCCAGTCAGTAGCAATGCCTATCCCAGTCCCAATCCAGGTCACAGTCCATATGGGGGAGGGGCACGCAGGGGGAGTGTCCACAGTAGAGGCTAGCATGCTGCAGCTTTGCTCGCCAGCCATGAGCCCAGCGCCTGGCACCTGTTGGTCAGCTGAGCAGCACTCCCACTGTGGGAGAGCACTAGATACTAGGGGCCAGATCCTGCATTGAGCGTCTGCCCCCTGGTGGTTAGTGATCGTCACAGCTACCGGTTGACCAGTTGCTTCGGCTTTTATATATATAGATAATCACCATGCTGTATATTACATCCCGGGAGTCTTATTTTATAACTGGAAGCTCGTAGGTTTTGATTCCCTTCACACACTTCCTCCTCCTCCAGATCCTCTTGTTCTGGCAACCAACTACCAATCCTTTCAGAAATTCAAGTATAAGTGAGAATAGCAATAGCTTGAAGGCTGAGAGAACTGAGTAGAGATATTAACAAATACTGAGTACTAAGGAGACAAAATCACATGGTATTTGTCTTTCTCATCTGACTTATGTCACTTAGTATAATAGCCTCAAGGTTCATCCATCACTAATGGCAAGATTTCATTATTTTATGGCTGAAAATGTCAGTAAAGTAATACTTTGCTGACATTTTCTTAGTTTTGACCAATGGCCTTTTCTGTTCCAAAATCCCATCTAGGATGATGCATTACATTAGTCATTATATTCTTAGAATCCCCTTGGCTGTGACCATTTCTCATATTTTCCTTGGTTTTTATAATCTTGATAGTTTTGAGGGCAACTGGTTGGGCATTTTATAATATGTCTTACAATTAGAATTTGATGATTTTCTCATGATTAGGTTGAGGTTATGGGTTTTGAGGCTCCAGAAAACCACAGAGGTAAAGTTCCATTTTCACCACTTTATGTCAGTGTAATTGCTATCAAGATGACGTATTACTGTTAAGGTTGATCACCACCTAATCAAGGTAAGGTTGTTCAGGTTTCTCCACTGTAAAGTTATCCTATCCCCCCTACTCCCACCCTTTGAAGGAAGTCACTATACATAGCCCACTCTAGGCATAAAGAACAATGTTCCACATCCTGGAGGGAACAGTATCTTCAGAAATTATTTGGAGTTCTGCCTGTGATATTTGTATCTTAGCATCTGCTTTTTAAAATTTACTTAGTCAAAAAAAAATAATAAAATAAAATAAAATTTACTTAGTCATTTATTTATATCCATGGGTATTTATTTTATACTTTAGCTTTAATCCAATACTTTTTATTTTATTTATTTATTTATTGTTCAAATTGTTCTAGGTTTGACCATTGGAAGGTCTTTCAGTTAGCTTCTGTGTTTCTTTGACATACCCCATTCCCACATTACAAACCAGAAGATATTTTGTGCAAGTTTCTAGTCACCTCTATCAGCACCTTGTCACTCTGGGAATGTACTCAATGGTATAGTATATATAATTATTAATGTCATAATAAAGATAGATAGATAAGAAACACACAATTTAGAATTTATCAGAACCCCTTTTTGTATAGGTCACAGCCCTTTAGTACAACTATAAAAAATGATTTTGTATTCATGTGAAATCACATTTTCTGATCTCAATTATCAATAGTAAATAACAACACTCAATTAAGAGGGAAACAAATTACCTTATTTCCTCTCCAATAATTATATTTTAAAAAAATGTTGTGTTATTTGAAGAGGGAATTAAAATGTAGCCAAAATTTTAGGCAAAAAAAAAAATAACAGGATTATAAAAGTATGAGTTATTATTTCTGTGGGGTTTGATATTTATAGTGTTGATCTGCTTTTTGTTGTTGTCGTAAATTTCTGCAATATATTTTCTCATTCAAATTAGATATTTGCTTTTGTACCTACTTTTGTATTATTTCCATTAAATCCTTTCTACGCACTAGCAAATGTATAACTTTCAGTACATCCAAAACCTGGCTCCA